TAGTAACTCCGAGACCTCAAGCAAAACTACAAACACCCGAGATTATAACATAATGTCCTTTTGTTACTACAAAATCTAACAAATAAAATAGGCATGTGCACATCGCGCTACTCTTATTGTAGTTATCACGAAAATAGAGTGTTACAATACAGAACTATAAATGACAAACTGTTGCTCACAAATTCACGTCAATGAATAAATGCATTAAATTAAAGACAATTAATTTAATTTAAGCAAATCATGAAATAAGAAATGTTGAACTTCGCAAAAATTTTTTCCTTCCATGAGAAACAATATATTGAAGAAGTGGACTTGCTTACTGAATTAGTCGATGTTACCAATAATGAAGTATACATAAAGTTTTAGGATACTCTGCATGTGCATTGTTCCATTGAAATTTCTACCACGATAGTATAAAAAAAAAGTAGCCTATGATTTATTTTTCAATTTCATCTTTTTCATTTGCAACATTCGATAAAAGGGGTCGTAATTGATTGATCGTCTGAAAATAAACTAGCTTTTGTAAGCAACAAAAAACTTGATGAGATTTTTTCATTACTTTAGAAGAATAAAATATGGAATGTAGGGAGATGCAACTTTAAATACCCATCTAATGCAATTAATTTCACATACCCAACAAACTTACTCAATAGCACTTATCCACTGGTTCATCTCCTCTTGCGAAAAAGCACACATTTTATAAGAAGTGTGCCGACCTACAACCATTCTTCCATCTGGTTCTGTTTTACAAGCTTTTATTACCTGAAAAAAAGAATTTAGATCTTTTCTAAAACGGTATGAACACGAAGATTAGCTAGAGACATGATTCCATGCGGCTCTTTCGCCTTTACATGAGGAAGCTAAAGTGATACAGATAAGGATGGGGCCACCAGAATACCTTAAAATTTCGAAATGTCTAGGTTAAGAATGAAACACAGTTAAAATCATAAGTGAAAATATCATCATTATTTCAAATGGCATAGAAAAACAGCGACCCAACACAGCACCCTTTCAAATAATGGATTCACTGAAACTTTACTATAAATGCAAACCTCACTGCTGTCGCTATAAATTTCAAAACAATATGGTTTGCCTTTCTCTTCAACGGTCCGAACACGAACATTTTCTAGAGGTATGATTCCACGTGGCTCTTTCGCCTTTAATATACCGTACTTAATTTATACCAGCCACTTCTTTAATGATTCCTAGCAAAATAACCCAACAGATGTTGTAATAACAAACATTTCAGTGTTCTGGAAAGAAATGAAACTTAAAGGGGATTTCGCATTAATGTTACAGCTGTGAATCTCAGTTGCATGGTGAATTAGACGTCCGGTTATTCACTAGCGAAAGTAAATTTTTAGAGCTCCAAACATAAATTAGAAATCTTACCGTCGTATGTTCAAAATAATATAAACATTTTTCAGCCAAAATGAACCACCGCCTCTTCCATGATTTTAAAAACGGACGTGTTGTGGCCAGTGAAGACGCTGAAAACGTAAACATTTCTCAGCTAAAATCAACCCACTGCCTCTTTTACGATTTCAAGGAAAGTGAGGGTCAAATTAATACTTTTGCTTAGTCCATAACATTAAAGTACTGTAAGAAATTAAAGATAATGAATTACCTTGTTTCAACAACCATCCTTCCCGGTCAGGATTGAAGAATGTATTATAAAATTCTCCATCGTCTGTTGGAAACTGGAACGGCTCAGTTCGGATAGATTCATAAATATTCTGAAATTCTAAGTTCCACCGTCAACAACTTAATTTCATCTTTTTCATCCCTCATTGGAATTGAATTCTAAAAACCATTAAATCAGGCCAGTTCATGTGATGCATACAGCTATGCTCAGTTTTCTGAAACAGATCTCGATAGCAACTGCTGAATTCTCGTCTAACCTATTTAATAAAGATATTAACAATATAAACCTCTAACAATTCTCTCGGAACATCTCTTCCTTCATCGATACCATGATACATCGTTATAAAGCCATCAAGTGTTAATGGAGTTTTCACATTACGATTATGCAGTGCAGTGTTGAGCATTACGATTGCAAAACACAATATGTAACAAGTATCTGTAACACAGTCCTACATAGCAGTACAACTTTCAACTGCTGATGAAACATGAGCACAAAATTATGCGAACGTTCCATGTGATCTGCGAAAAATTTTTCACAGTGTAGTGAAGCGAAAAAAAAAGAAACATTAAGTCAATTTCAAATGTCTTCGAAAAGCAAATAATTTTCGACTACAGTTTCATGGAAACAGATGTTACTCTGATATTTCGATGCATTAAGTTTCACAGAAGAAAAAGTTTTTTTTTTTCTCTCGAGGCGAGAGAAAGATCAAATATTAGAGAAATCATCAATAAAGGAATGAAAAGCAGAATCACAAGCCGCAGATTACAATGAAAACCTTGTACAAATTTACAAGTTGTCCACCACACTTACCAACGCTAGAAAAAACTCCCGGGTTATTCGCACAATAACGTCGCGCAAAAGTATTAACCATACGATCAATTTTTTGGGATTCACCGGGTAAACGAAATGACCAAAAAAACTGTCTAAGTGCTTGCACCAAGATGAGGTCCGTAAAGTCATGCAGTTCGCAAAACTTCTCCAACACTTCCAGGTTGAACGGATTGTTTTCACCCAAATAATCGCCAACAGCACTTTTTCGTAAACCTAAAATCCTATGATAATGAGGAATAAAAATTATCTCATTTACATAAGGTGTCATTACGAATATGCTTTGCAAGTTCCTAAAACACTTTTGTTTTTCTGATTTCCAAGTTAGTATTGTAAGAATGTAAAAAGTAAGACAAATACCCAATAAAACTGAGTTTTTGATTACATTGATTTATGTCCAGCAAGAAAAAAATTGAAAAGACAAACGACTTACCTTCCCCTTTGTAAAGGAACTCCGCAACCGATGCAGGCGAATTATGAACCAGGTTATGCTGAATCATATATTCCATACCCTTTTTGGGATCTATATTGAAATTTTTCCGAGCTAAAGACATATGCCTTCCATTTGGGCTGTATCTGAAATTCATCCAGCAAAAAAATCCTTCTTATATGGAATGGAAAATGATCAATAAACCTTAAATAAAAACTAACTCTTCATCAGGAATGTCGATCGTTGCCAACTGCGCATTAATACCATCCAGTTCTGATCGGATTTCCTGGAAGTACGAAATTTATGCATTTCTCAAGTTCTAGAAATTTGGTAATTGATGAGACAACTGCATTAAAAGAATTTAAGACAAAACGACTTCACAGATAACAAAGCCAAGAACAAAAAGGAAAACCGCGATTTACTTCAACATCTTCGTTAATTCCAGAACGACGTGCACGCAAGAAAGCGAGATCCTCTAATTCGGCCGGAGTGAGATCAGTGGTGTTAAAATAAGCCATCAAAGTAATTACATGGACTGAGTAACAATGAATTAGAGACTTATTAACTTTCCTGAAAGTAACCGTTCAATGAAATAATTTCTGAAATATAATCGCTTTTTGAGACGAAGCCAACATCTTGGGACATAAAGTAAATTTTTACTCTACTAGTATTCCCACTTTTTCATTACTCCTTACTTCTGCGCTACTTTTTTCATATGTTCGATTGAGTTTGAAAAACGTAAGCTTCACTCACTTATTTGATCAGGGTTTGCTCCCGAACGTTCTAAAGTACGCACCACTACCTAGCACTTATTTTTTAAATGTTGAAAAAAAGAAATTCGAAATTTCGTTTCATGCCTTGATTTGATTAAAATGAAAACAAGAACTTAAAGGTTGGAAGGGACTCCGTCTCCACATCGTTTTTCATCGCTCAAACACATATGGCATTATAGTAAAAAGTTCAAGAAGTGGTAACCGCGTAAACTGTCCTATTCCCTATTTGGCGTAGTCAACCTTGAACACAATCATATGAAATATGTGACAGGACAGAAACCAGAATTAAAACGAACCAAACTTTTCTGGGCAAAGAAAACGACGGACTCTTACCGTACATCCTACCCCGAGCTCACCAGACTTTGCTATTCGTTGGCAATTCGTTGCAAGAGCCTAATCTTTGTCACCAGCATTAAAAGCTCTCCACTTTATTTGTGTGAATCATTTGAGAAGGTACCGAGAAAGTCAAGTTCGAGATTCAACCACCTTTAGCATTGTAGAATTTTATCACATTACCGATGTTAACTTCCATGTAATTTATTAAGTCTGACTCATATTTCGCCACCTGTTTCCTTAGATGGCGTTTCAACAGTTAATCAAATCATTACTAAATAAGAACAGGTTGTGTGCTTTGAAAATATATAGTTGCTAGGATAATCTGGAAAACAAATTTTAAAGACTTCTCTCATAAAGGCAATAAATATTAAAGCATAAAAATATAAAAAAACACTTGAAGCAAAAAATGTTCCAAACAAACAAATAAATACAGTCCCGCTGATAGTGGTAATCACAGGAATCATGTGAAGCAAAAATGATAAAATTTACAGGAATCAAAAATTTCATGGAAAGGAAATATTCAAAGCAAGTGAAATGCACAAAAAACTGGGGGACAAAACGATATGAAATTCATGAAATATTTGAAATATGAAGGCTACCAAGCAGCAGTTAATCCGGAAACTGTTAAAAATACATCAGCAAAAATGGTTTTGCGAAGGTTAACATCTCCAGATAAAAAGATATTGACTGTCTACCATTTTGTAATCATATGTTGCAGTGGGATAAAATTTTGAAAGATCTGTAAAGTAAATGTCTTCTCAGAATCTCTTTTAGGCCACCGATATAAAATATCCTATTCTTTTAATGCCATTAATTAAAACCTCCAATTTGTTATAATCTGTTTCCATATTTGCGATATATAGTCTGCTGGTAAAAATTTTTTCACATATGTAATAATAAGTCATCAACAAGAGAATACACTGTCTGCTTATTTGGATATTTAATTCATGAATTTCAACATTTTCTGTCTCCATATGTGCGATATTTATTATTGGTGACAAATCCTCGTCCGCTGCAATGAAACGCATTCAATGATTACTTTATGTGTATGGTTGAAATGAGAATCTGTAATATTTCTATTGGTGATCATAAACAAATATAGATGAATCATGAAATGGTAATTCCCAAAAAAGAAATCACTTAGATGCCTTATCGACGACTAGAGTAACAAAGGATGGGTACTGCTGCTGCAACATAGAAAATCTGATGTTTTACATAAATTGGAATAACCAGACAACCAGGACCACAAATCTAACATCAGTAGTAAATAATGCAAAAAAAAAAAACGGATAATGGGCACTATAAACCTCTTCAAGTAGTGCGTTCGAGAGTACAGCTACACCACCACGAGCAAATGAGCTACGAATACCAATTCAAAAGTTCTTCCACAATATTCACAGAAAATAATGAATTATTAGCAGAGACGGATAGTTCCCCTGTTGAATTGCAAATATTTCTGCAACGTGAGCGATTACAGCTCCCTCACACATTATGTAAAATTTCTTCCATCTAAAGACGGAATCTGAAAATTTAAATTTGCAAACCGGTCAAGAACTACAGGCTTATATACATATGATGCTGCACTTGAATTCGCAGGATTCGGTAATGATAAATCAAGAATTGTGTGAAAATCCATTTTTTTTTTTCTGCCATGTATCATTCAAAGAGAGTGAAATCTTCAAGAATATAACTACACTTGATTCACTAAAATCGAAGAATCTGAAAGGAAATGTAACAAAATTAGACCGACTTCCAAAATGAACTCGAAAATTCGGTGACTGATAGAGAAAGTTGTAGCTGTTTAATAATTTCCCAATTTGGTGGGATTATCACTCGACTTTGAGAAGCCAGAATCAACAGAGGATATCAAAGTCACCTTGATTATTGCGTCTGTTATCTATTTGAAAACCAATGTCGGCATAAATCGTGAGCTGAGGACGTCAAGAATTCAAAGAACTTTCATTTTCTACTAAAAATGGTTCTGGACATCGTTCGCTAGAAGGAAATCCAGTTTTCAAATCGCACAGTAGCTGGTCCTATCGCATAATTTCACCTAGAATACATGAAGTGCGGAAATCTTTTTATCATATGTAATAAATTACGAGGGAATTTGTCAAAATTCCGAACAGCTGCACAAAAATACCGACCAGGGGATAAGTTTGGATAAAAAAAAACTCGATAAACGCAACAGGAAAGCGAAAAAGTTTGTCATCCGTAATGCTTGGGATGTACTCACGAGAACTGATACGTTTAATCAGAGCATTGTACATGCCAACATGTCCGCCAGATATATTTCCAAGCTCAGCAGAGATAAAGACGGGTGATAATTTCCTATAATTTCAACCACTTTAATGATAAGTATCTTTCATTTTGCTTAAAGCAAGCATAAAGTGTTCAAAGACAGAGAGGGTTTATAAAATGAAAAGGGAATACCTGCTAGTAATCTTAAGGTCAAATTTATGTACGTTTAAGTCTTTCCCATAGCACTGTGACCAGAAGAAATAACTTTACTAGTGAAATTTCTTCGAAATCTTCCCAGACTGTCGATGCAGGACAATCACCACTTGCAGATATTGATGTCGGTACAGGCTTTTCCTGTAACTCTTATGCCTGCGTAAACTGCAACGCAGTAACATCCGCCAAAATTTCAATTATAACCGGTCCCTTCACAATTTCGGACTGGTTTTCAATCATTGTGTTTGTCGCGATAGATTGATCGAACCGCAATAAGAGCATCCCCGTAGCAGGTAAGACTAAGAGATTCCTGGAAAAGTTTTCGTAAATTGCATTGAGTGAGGTAGTTTATGCCAATTCTTATATCTTCGGGTCTTTATTCCTCCGTTCCGGCAAACTCTGTAAGGATTTCAAGGTATAATTAATACGGACACTGAAGTTAAAACTAAAATGTCAACTCGCTGAACAGGAACGACTGACGAGAAACTCCCTTGTTCATGTCGCCATCAGTAACGGGCCGTGAGAAAAATATAGAACACAAGTTCGTTTTAAGCGAACTGTCGAGAAGAGGCGGGGTTTTGGTTCTTTTGGTTGTGCCTTTAAGCTGTGGAATATTTATTTACCAGCGCTTGCTAAGTGCTATAAGGAAACTTTTTTATTAGGTTAATCCTCGAATGGATTGATTTGGGAAGTTTATTTTCCGTAGAAAATTAGCTTATGTGATGCATTAAACATTTAGTCTGTCATGCTTCTCAACTCTTTTGATTAAAGCTGAGTGTAGCTATTCCTTTATCACCAAATATAATGATTGCAGGCACTAAGCTGGATTTTATCACCTATCATTTTGATTCTTACCAACAAAAATGGCTGTCTGATACAAAAATGGTTAGGTTTTCATTTTTAGAATAAGAACATGAGTTCTTAATGTTGCCAGACACTGCACACTTTAAATTTTTATTTTCAGTATTGGCTTCAACTTGCATCCTACCTGTTGTATTATTTATTATTTATAATAAACTGTTGTGAAGCTAATGAAAGTATTGCTGTACTAGCAAATGATGTCAGTAGAGATGAAAAAAAGTTTCTAATTTACGACGTCAATTACGGCGAAGGATTTAACTTGCGTCGTGATGTTTTTATGAGGTAATTCAAAGGTCACTTGTTTGTTGCCTGTTTTTCTTTAGATTTCTCTTGATCATTATGCCATGAAAAGGCTGAGAACTTTAAACTGGTTTTACGGCTACCCATAATCAAATGTCATAGTGATTTGTGTTTTTTCTTTTTTTTTTTTTTTGCTCACGTCACGTCAGAAATTATGGCTTCGATCAGATTTTGTTGTGATTTTTTTTTACAGAATAGCAAATACAGTTAGGATTTTGCGAGAACGTGGTTATAATTATGTGCTTGTATTACCGCCATGGGGTGGCCTTTATCATTGGCGAAAACATCACTTGAAAGTACCTTGGTCGAAGTTTTTCCACATTCAAAGTATCAATGAATTTGTTCCCGTGATTGAATTCCATAGGTTTTTAAAAGGTATGTTTTCAGCTATCTTCACATTACAGAGGAGAAGAAAGTTATTCTTAACAAAAAAATCTGAATTTAAATATAATAGTTTGCTGAACTTGACATTTTAAATTTATAGAAAATGAAGAGATAAATGTAACTTTTTACTTTGTTGACGAAATCGGCTGGAATCACAAACGGTTCTGCCAAAATAAAGGGACGGTTACAAAGTAAGTATGCTAACAGTTAAAACTAGTCGTGGCGATCATTTTTAGAAACGAATTACGATGTTATCGATGAAGTACTATATTTACAAGGTTATGCAGAAGGATGGACGGGTGGGAAATATGAAATTAAATATGATCAGCGGAATTGCATCATTAATGATCCTCACTACAAATTCATTGGTGGTCTTTGGTATGATTTGAAGGTCTTAAATTAAAATACATCAGTTTTTCTAAGGAACTTTAGGCCAAAAACTTGAACTTTACATGAATATATCAATTGTTTTCTACAGATCTAACTTGAACTGAATATCGTTACGTTATTTCTCCAAATTTTAATGCTAAGTTTGCGCATTGTTTACTTCTGGACTCATGTGAAAGTCAATCGCACTGTCAGCGAATTATCCTCCATCTTCATTCTAGTGCAGTTTTTCAGGAAAGGCTGGTTTTTTTCATTTGAAAATATATATGCTCGCAAATTTTCATGCATTTCGATACAAGGTGATTCAGAGACATTGGCCAATATGATTCAAAGAGATCATCATCATGCGAATTCATTGATGATTGATCGCGCAGAAACAGTGCTTCATTCACATTTTGGTGACTTTTATTACTGGGAAGCGAGGCGCTCCATGCGCTACGCAGAGCATCTTCGTCTTGTTGCTGATGAATTTAGGTAACGTAATGAGTTAGGATATTTATCAACTGTGTTAACTCTAAAATAGAATTTTTGTAAAATAGAAAACCTAAATATCTTAATTCCCAACTTTTTAATTTGTATCTTTGCGCATTTAAGGCAAAAACGATTGAATTCAAATGATCGGAGAGATGGAACTCTGATTTCTGATTCATGGAAGACAACAAGGAAAGTACGTCACCTCAGTATCTAATGAGATCTTAAAACTAATTTAGCTGGAAAGAATATTTCCAGGAGCACGGCGAAGCGCAAGGAGGGGACTATATTTGTGTTCACTGGAGACGTCGTGATTTTGTGCGGTCTCATAGCGCTGATATACCATCTATCAGTGGCACCGCCGAGCAGGTTTCAGTGCTTTAGTGTTAAATATATTGCATATAGTTCAAACAGAGTGTGAATACTTTTTAAACTTGGGACCAAGAAGAATCCGAACACGATCGAATCCTCGTTTGTTTAAAAGATCTAACATTCTTACAGATTGTTGTGATTCTGCGAAAAGAAAACCTTACCACTCTCTATTTATGTACCGACGCTTCAACTGCGGAAGTGGCCACCCTTACCAGTCTCTTGCCATATGATGTACAAGTTGAACGATTTCTAAACGACTCATCTTTGAATGATGGAGAAGTCTCCATTGTTGATCAGGTTTTCTATTCTCCCAGTTTATAATCTGTTTGCCAACATGAAACTTGATTAGATCTTTTTTATTGTTGGCGTAGTCAAACGTCCCATTGCAGTGGATATGCGCACATGCCCGTTATTTCATTGGTACTCATACATCAACTTTCTCATATCGGATACAGGAGGATAGGGAAATCTTGGGCTTTGAACCAGCGAAAACATTTAACCGACTATGTCCCGATGGTGAAACTGATTGTGAACAGCCCGCCAAATGGACAATAGTTTATAAAGAATCACCCAGTCGTTATTGATATACATGTAAGTGCGTGTGCAATATACATTCACTTTTCTGAATATAAATTTGTCGAAATCAAAATTTATTCCCGGGACACTGTCGAAGTGGCATCCAGAAGGAATACAACGATATTACGACATATACAACTTTTCAACAGACAACATAAAATAACCAATGTTCTCATCAAACTCGGACAGGTGCGCTTTGCGCAAGGAACTCCCAATAACGCTGATATGGAGTCTTCTCTAGAGATTGTTCCTTCCACAAATCAGGTGTTAAATATGAATAGGTGCGCTGAATCGCTGCATAGGTTGCCTAAAGTTAAAAAGAACTTAAAAACAGACCAAATTGAAGAGCCTCATCGATACTATCACTAAGTCTGTTCGTAACACATCACAGTAGTAGTAAGGAAGTCATATACGAAATAACAGGCCGAAATGACGTCATGATGACCAATATCGTGATATTTATTAAACTCTTTAACTCCATTGTCCATTAAGTTTCTGTGTTCTCTGGGCGATAAATATTACGGACTATTCCAATTCAGGTAGCTAAAACGAAAAACTTACCTTTGCAAAATTCCCCAGCGTAGCAGTTTGTCCAACAGCGGACGTATAGCAATCCTCCACACCAGCCATTTGAAGTAGTTTTTTCGGCACAGGTGCCGAAACAATACCAGTGCCTCTAGGAGCAGGAATAAGACGCACCAGCACTGAACCACATTTTCCGGTGACCTTGAAGAAAGTTTAGCATATACTTATCTCATAAACACAGTCAGTGAAACATTTAAGTTTTTCCTCATCCAAATAAAAATACCTTGCAGGGTACGGTATGTGGTTGGCCAATTTTGTTACCCCAATATCCGCGCCGTACAGGGATGACTGATAACTTCGCAGCAATGATCGCACCACGAATAGCTGTAGCAACTTCTTTTGAACACTTCACTCCCAAGCCTACATGCCCATTGTGATCTCCAATAGCAACAAAAGCCTGAATAGTTTTATAGATTGCTCAAGAATCTGCAAAGGATATTACTTTTCAGTTTTACAGTTATGATAAAGTGTCATCACAAACCTTAAAGCGTGTACGCTGACCAGCACGAGTTTGTTTCTGCACTGGCATTATTTTTAGTACCTCATCCTTTAAATTAGATAACAACATATCGATAATTTCATATTCCTGAAAAAGATACTCGATTTAATTGACTAGGATTTCTTGAGTGCTGCAACGATGAGCATATTAAAGCGCCAACATCGCTAGTAACCTATGTAAGATTTACTTTAATAGGTAATGAGTTCAGGTAAATTTCTTCAAGCGAGGTGATTTTTCGGTCTTTAACCAAACGACCCAGCTTCGTTACTGGAACCCATTCTTTATCACCTTCTTTTCCACCTCTGAAATCTCAGGAATTACAGAACTGTCGAAGCTATAATGAGGACAACATATGAATACATCGTATGGTTTTTTCTGCACAAGCTTCATCTTTGTCACAAAGCAGTTTCTCCAATGTATTGGAGAAAATGCATAGGCTTTCTTTACTGTAAATGAAATGACTACTTAATCATTGATTCTACTGTGGCACTAAGTTAATAAGCTCATGGTTTATACAGAACACCAAGAAAACATGAGTACATTACTTGAAACAAATTGATACTAACCTTCCACCACGTCCACCCCGACCTCGACCACGACCACGACTTCGTTCACCGCCACCACGACCACCTCTACCTAAACTATTTCATTTTCCTTACGAAACACGTAAATATTTTGGGTTAGGAACATTCCCAGTTGTACTAGCCTACAGTAACCAACTCTTATCCTACGTTGCTAAGATAAGACTTCATCAAAGTAATTTTATCAGTCTGAATAGGCAGTGTAATATCATTAAATGAAATATTTGCAAAATTTAAATGTTGAAGAACTCATCTGCAACATTATTTCCCAGGATAGCTTTAAAAAAAGTAAATAAAAAAGCACTTACCACTCCGTTCGCCACTACCAAATCCACCTCGAAAACCTCCACGTTCAGCCATATTGAATAAATCCAACGCTTAACCCTGGATTTTTATGCTTGTTCAAAAGTATATGTAGGGTTTACAATTGATAACGATAAGCAAGAATGAAACAAAAGAACAAGTTCCACACAAACTGTTATAAATGAGCGTGAAAGGACATGCACTAATGTAATTAAGCGATGAGGTAATACACAACACCAATTTAAGGTACCAAACTATCTACTAGAATACTACACTTTTTTCCTGCATGAGCAGCATATCAGAACGCCTATAATTAATTTAAAAATTGGATTTTACAAGCAGGCATAGATTCACTGAACAAGCAGCATAGATTCACTGAAAAATGTAAGAGATAAAGACTGACTTCAGACGTATTTGGTTGAAAAACTTGGGTCTGACTAAAAGATTTGGTTGGCTATATGGTTGACCATCACATACCACTTACTGACCGAATCTTTTTAGCTATAGCTGCTATTGCCATATCCCAAACTATGTGATGTATTAGAGTATAAAAGTTTTAGTAATATTCTATTATTAACAGGTAAAACTAATGCTACTTGTTATGAAAATAACGCCGTATGATTAAACATTGTATTTGTGGCATACAGAACAAGGGAGTTTAGTATAGAAAACGCAGTATGACAAGAACTGAAACATAATTTGAGTGAACAGACGCAGTGTCTTTACAAAAATAAGAAAAAAACAGGTCGAGTATCCAACATGCCTCGTAACTGTCATGTCGTGAACAGGTTTAAAGGCAGATGTATATGCCACTGCAAATACATAACTCAGAATTTGTCTCAGCTATTTTTAGTAAGGAGCGTTCACTGTGGGCCACGCGGAACTTCACAGAACTGAAAAGAGAAAGAGCAGGGACCTCCTAACTCGAGTCAGTTATCTGTCTAAACTACTTCACTGCTCCACTTATCCCTGAAGATCTCCCGACCTCCCAAGACTTCCCGTCGTTTCACACAAGACTAGTCAGACCAATAACGGTACATACTACCTAAAATCTGCTTTGTCATTTTGCTACAATGTATGTCGTTGACTGAAGAGAGTGTGTGTGGAAATGGAAGACATCAAACGGCGAGATGAGAAGCTGGACTGAACTGGTGGAGAAGACACTTGTCCGCTGGAAGTGATCAGGAAATGTAGATGCGAGTGGACGTGATTGGAGGGGATGGCACCGGGAAGTATTGTTGTTAACGGGCCGTGAGGTTGACAAGTTTGGAGTTTAAGGGATCTTTGTTATTGCCTTGTTTTTCCACCGAGAATCTACAGAGACCAGCACGGTTCTGCAAAGAATTTCAGAATGTTTACTTGGGATAGGAGAGTGATAATTCATCGAAAACAAGTGCAATTGGATATGTGTGTGGATGCTTTAGCATTATGGCCTCTCAATTTAAATTTTAAACTTGATTCTGAAAGTTTACCCAGTAATGTATATTGTAGCTATGTTCTTTTAAACGATTGCTATATTTGACATGGCTTTCCTGCACAATAATAAAAAAATATGGCATCTTGTCTACTACTCAGAAATGCGGTATAATTTATTCATCTTCATTTTTAGGTAGTTTCATATTTGTCATACCGGTTAACGATAACGATGAACTACAAATATATACTCTGTTTAGCGACAATTGTCAGCACATTTTTCACTTCGGGTTAGATTTAATTACCACATAATCAAGAAAGTAAATTATGGTTGGTAACAAATGGAGGTGTAAAATGTTTGTTTTATCTGCAACAGCCGGCTGGTCTTTATATGAAGGATTTTTGTAAATTTCTTTATAAAACATGGTTTTATATGAAATTTTCATTGACCTTCGAGAATCTATGTTTCGTTGCAAAAAGGAGGAAGACCCGTCTGTTTAGTAATAACAGTTGGGCATTCTATCGGAAATTTTGATCTCAATATGTTTCAGTGGACTCCGTAAGCCGAAAGTTAAAAAAAAAAAATTGTCAGCATGGATTTTGCTTTGCCAGTAGCATAAAAATTATTCAGCCATACGAAATTAATATAAACTATCGAAATCGAGACCAAATTTATCACCGAAGGAAACCGAAAACTTGAAGACTAATGAGTTTAACTTAAATTTAGGGATGTGTGCCACAGCAAACAATTTTTGGGACCTTCTAATGCAAATACATGTTTTTCTGTAAATCGAAATCTTGTTTGAACTATAAGCTTTGCTTCAAAATCTCCACTACGAATTTTTTGCTTTTGCAGATGCATCGCTTGCAGCTATGTCCATAGATTTTGGTTCACAATGGATAAAAATGGCTTTGGTAAAACCAGGTGTGCCCATGGAAATGGTGTTGAATGAAGAAGCACATAGGAAAACACCAAACCTAATAATTGTTAAAGATAACGAACGTTTGTTTGGTGATGCGGCATTGGCCTACGTAAGTGGTGTATAATTCTTAAAATTTTTTTAGATTCACTGGCAGATGGAGGAATTGCTAATGCCAGTCGGAGCTAAGAAGTTTTATTTTTCTCTTTCTCTTTTGTATGAAGTATACACATTTCAAGAATTGATTTTAGATGAGTGTCCAGTTTTTCGTTATGTATTGTAGTTTCTGTGGGGATGCATTCGTATCGAATTCTATCTTTTCTTAAACTTTTTAGTCAGTTAAATATTGGAAAAATTCTTTTACTCATTTGGTGGATCTGTTGGGCAAGAAAATCAACAATCCAATTATTTCACTTTACAAGCAACGATTCCCGCATCTAAAATTTATTGTGGATGATGCGAGAGACGTTTTGCAGTTCGATGTGTAAATTTTATATATTCATTGAAGTTTTCAGAGACTCTGCTCTGTATGTGAAAGTTCTTAAATTGAGGGTGAAAAATGCGTGCTTTTTATATGATATCAGTGCAACTCATTTCTCTTTTTTTGCTAATTCAGCTAAAAATATATGATCTGAACTGATTTCTGCTAAGTGTAGGGATGGCGAGAACTACAGCATTGAGTCTATAGTTGCAATGATTTTGAAGCGATGTCGAGAAGTGGTCGAGAAATTCGCTAAACAGCCTGTTAGGGATGTAGTTATTACAGTTCCAGTGTTTTTCAATCAAGCAGAACGACGTGCTCTAGTAGCAGCGGCTAAAATCGCTGAACTGAATTTATTACAAGTGCGGTTTGATTCTGGACAACCTGTTTCTTTAATTTCTTTTTTAGAAAATCCATTAACTTCTGATCCAAATTTATTTATTTTTTTGCTTTGGCGAAAGGGTGCGTTGAAAGTCAATAAACTTCAGTTTTTTTTTTTTTTCTTTACATCGTGGTATTATTTACAAATCTTATTTTAAGTTATTCATTAATGTTATTTCTCAACTCTGTACCTTTTAGTTGTTGAATGATCATACAGCTGCTGGTTTAAACTATGGTGCATTTCGAAGAAGAGAAATCACTGAGAATGCACAAACTTTGTTAATTTATGACGTTGGAGCAACAAAAGTTACAGCTTCAGTGTTGGAATATGTATTAGTGGAGGAAAAGAAACGAGGTGAAAAGGATCCAGTTATGACGACACTGGGAGTTGGGTAATTTTAAAGAAATGTTTTGTTCACTTATATAGTCCAAGGCATTACATAGCTTTATGAATATTGCTAGTGTCAATTATTTGGCTTTGAAGTGTGTAGTGTTGCAGCTATAGCCGCATAGTTGGTGGCTTTGAAATTACGCAAAGGCTGCGTGATATCTTTGTGAGTGACTTTCGCAAAACGAAAAAGACCAAAACCGATATAACGGAAAATCCACGCTCCATGGCAAAAATGTTGCAAGAGGCAGAACGTGTCAAAATTGTATATTTTACAAAAATTTGAAGTAGTAGTAAGTTGCGGTTTTCACGGTAGTCAGAAACGACAATATGTATGGCTGTATATGGTACATGATTAGAAATGACAACTGTATGCTGAACAGTCGTGATAAAATCGGTTTCACTTCAGGTGCTTTCGGCAAACGTTAATTTTACTGCGCAGATTGAAAATGTCCATGAAGAACAAGATTTCACGATGTCAGTGACCAGAGCAATGCTAGAAGGTGCGATAAGAGATCTCGAAGTAAAATTAGTGCAGCCTATTGTGGATGCTTTGAAAATGGCTGACTTGTCACCAGAAAAGGTTTAAATTGGTTCTTTTTTGTATTAAAATCTTCCCGTAACCTTTGCATGGACGTAGTGTTCTGTGTTTCCAGGTCAATCAGGTAGTGCTGATGGGTGGTGGGAGTCGCGTTCCCTTAATCCAAGAATTTGTTCAGAAATTCTTCAAAAAGTAAGGGTTTTCTCATTGGAAAATCTGTTATTTGTTAGTGTCCTTTTATAAAATTTGGGCTTCGAGGTTTTTCATTGATTTATTTGGAGGAAAGAGCTGGGTAAATTCCTAAATACTGATGAAGCAATTGCAATGGGTGCAGTTTACCAAGCAGCGCATCTAAGCAAAGGTTTCAAAGTCAAGAGATTCGGTGTACGTGATTTGCAGATATCTCCAATACAGGTGTGTAACTTTTGTATGATTTTTCACTAACACTCCAAATAAAGCTAACTTTCTTATATTTTAATTCATATAACTCATACATAAGATTATTATTATTTTGAATCTTCCACACCTTTTATCGGACTCTATTTTTATCATTATTTAAGGTTGATTTTATTAGTGCGCATAGTAAAGACGAAACGGGTACTGGACGGTTAATACATCGACCAATATATCCAATGAAATCGTTCGTACCTGCATCTAAAAAAGTTTTGTCGTTCACTTCGTTCACGGAAGATTTTTCAGTGAATGTTAATTACGGAGAAATGAGAGAGCTTAGCACAGATCAGCTCATGTAGGTGTTTTAAGTCTTATTGTTTGTTTAAATCATTTATCGGAAAATTTATTCTCTTTAAACTAAAATTTTTGAAGTTATTCCTTTGATTTGCAAGTGGTTCTATATTTATGACAGTATTGGATGTTTTAGGGAATTTGGTTCACTTAATATCAGTGAAATTAAAATAGATGGTGTTACGGATGTATATTTAAGGGAAACAGCGAAAGAAGGCACTATTTTCAAGGTTTTCTGTGTATTTCGAATATGCTTTGATTTTTATTATATTTTACATAATAGTTTAGTTTTAACAAACAAATATGCTCAGATAAGCAGTATATAAGATCAACAGTCAACTTTTTAGGGAATAAAAATCCATTTCGATTTGGATAATTCAGGAATTTTGCATGTTGACGGAGCCGAAATGTTATTGGAACAACCATCAAAAGCAGAGTCTACACTCGCTTGTAAGTATTTAGAAAGCCGTAGAGAAGGAAAATTTTGGAAGTCTTAATGAAGTTTGGTTTTTTTTTACACAGACTGGTGGAAAGCTTGTTTTAGCGAGGTTCTTAAATGCACTTTTTTTAAACATATTTTTTGTCTCCTTTTTTGTAGCACTTGCTGAGAAAATTACTGGATTATTCTCTTCAAACAATAAGATGGATGAAACGCAAGAGAAAAATGAGGAAAGTTTGAAATCTGAAGAAATAAACGACAAAAGCTATAGTTCTACTAATACTGCGGGAAATCAAACTAAAATCGAAAAGCCAACAGGCGATAATGTCAGTCTATAGTTACTTTTATAAATTCATTTAATTTATGGGCAATTGCAGTACGAGATGGAATTTTTTTTCTAACGAACTTTTTCCATGTCCATAAATTAAGAACTTTCAGTTCTTTACAGGTAACGAGCAGGCCAGCGGAAGCAAACAAAGTATGTTTCCACAGTTATTTCACTGAAAGTTATTCATTTATTTATCTGTTTATTTTTTCTTTAAGATTAACTTATTCCACTCATTTACTTCTTCATTAGCTCATTAAATTGTTACCAGCAATAAATTGACATTATTTGTGATTGGAGCTTCTTTAATTACTTCTGTGAGGCAGACTAAAAGAGAATAGTTTGTCTGCATCTTTTACTTACATTTAATCAGCGCATTAATGAAGAAGAAACTGGTTTTATGTGCAAAAAATGTAACTTGAATTTTCAGTTATAGCTATGGATAGTTCTGAGGTCGAGCAAATATAATTTGCAAAGCTGTTAATCAATCATTGTTTCAAAAATATAATGTGTTATTCTCATTTCAGACAGCTACAAATGCGGCAGAAAAAAAGCAAGAAGAAAAGCCTCTACAGATTAAAATCTCCCTGAAGTTGATGGAAAACATACTAGATGTCCCGCCAATTTCCGACAGCGAAATTACTTCTGCGAAGAACAGGTGATCTTGATGGGTAACCACTCTCTATTTATAATTGGCTGGAACTGTGGCACTCCTGAAAATTTTCCGAATTAACTTGTCGAAATATGTGTTTCAGAATTGCTGAGTTTGAGAGGAAAGAAAGGGAAAAAGCGATTCGTGAAGAAGCACATCATAATCTTGAGTCATTAGCTGTTGATCTTACCGATAAACTTACTCAAGATGAATTCAGGGTATTGATATTTTTTGATTATTTTAAGAAACTGTCTTCAAATTTTCATATGAATTTTACTGAACTATTCAAAATTCTTTACAGCGTTTTTTAACTGCTGATGAGCACATCGCTCTGCAGAAAGAGATATCACAAGTAAAAGCTTGGTTGGAGGATCATGTTGACGTGAATACTCCAACAGCTGAATTTATTCAAAATAGGAAGACAATCGATGACTTATTACAGCCGATCAAGATTCGCATGACAGAGGACCAGGTAACTTCCTGCTGTTATAAGAAATCAGTTTGAGCATTTCCCTAATTAATACTTTTACTGTTTGAGGAACGTCCTTCAGTGGTGGCTGAACTGATTTCAATGTTTAACCACACAGAAATATTTTTGCATCTTGCACAAAACCTTACTGAAGCAGAAGTGTTTACAGAAGTTGAAATCAATACTTTAACAAAATTGCTCGATGAAACTAAGGTACACAAATTAATTAATTAACGTTTTTGAAATTTCTTGATTTGAAAAATGAAAGAGTGTGGGAAAATGCTATACTAAAGTGAGTTGTTGAACTGAAGTGATTGTAATATATTTTGACTTATAAATTCTAGGATTGGCTTACTACAAAAATGGAGTTGCAGAATACATTAAAACCAACGGATCAACCAGCACTTTCAGTGAGTGAAGGAAAGGAAAAGGTAAATACTATGTAAATAGTAAAACGAGTTTTATAGTTACAAAAATGAAAGATAGGAGACGGCTTTATGTTCAGAAGTAGAATCTTAGAAGCATAACTGTGTTTTGAGACAAAAATTTGCTTTTAAGTTGATTCAGGTCATGATTGAGAAGTCTGCAAAAACAGGAGTGTTTATACGATTATTCATAGCAGATTTTTAAAGTAATTTCGGTTTCAATGCAGTTGATTTCAGTTAATGTCACTTGATCGTGAGGTGAAGTATTTATTGAGTAAAATGAAGTTTGCGAAACCAAAAGTTAGAAAGGAAGAAAAAACTAAGCAAACAATTGCTGAAAACAGTGAAACATTGCCGGAAACAATAGAGGAAGTAAGGAAAGATTCGGATGAAAAATCAGATGAGACATCAAGAGATGGGCAACCTCTCAACGATGCGAATAATGTAAGGGGAGACGAGGAACTGGAAAACGATGAACAAAAAGACGATAAAAGACAACATGATGGTTCAGAGCTTTAGTTGTTGCTTAATTTTACTTTTCATGGCCCATTATAACATTATTCATTTGTTGTTATTGTTTTGTTTATCATATAAGTGTGTGTAAAGTGATGGTGTGTTTCGTTCTGCCTCATTGAATAAACGATTTGCTCGATTAACGGGATTTACCATTTTATTATTCGTGATGATTCCAGCCCTTATTAAATTATTCGTATAGAGTCACACTTATCAGAAAGGTGTCATTCATATCAATTTTTGTTGTTTTTCGCTGTGATAGTCTTATTATTTATTTTCTTTTTTCATTTTTTTCCTTATTTTATTCTCTTCATTTATGGTTTTCATTTTTCTTGTTTTGTGATTGGGATATTTTTTTTTTAGTTTGCTTTTTATTAGCACCTGTTATAAAATCCGGCTTCATTCATCATATGTGTTTTGCCCTGACGGACATGGTTGGTCCAAATAATGCTCAATAGGAATCGAAGTGAAAGTTATGTGAGACAGATCTCAGATTCGGATGGAATATTTCATTACTGTGAAATTGGTGAAGTGGTGCTCATAACATGTACCTTATCATAATTATTTCCCGGTCAAGTTCTTTCATATTTGACTTTTAACAAAAGTGGAGCTTCTGATTCACACATTTGCTTTTGTATGGGCTAATCTAAGGACAGAGGTGATGAAGTCATAGAATGCTATTGATAAGTTATATAATTCAAAACATTGGTAACCCACATGGATTAATAAAGTTTGATGGAACTGGTTGTTTGGTGTGCTGAATGTGATCAAACAAAGGTTTAAATGAATTTCCTGAACACCCATCTACCTTATTGGAACGTACGTAATAAATCCAGTTGTTTTTTGATATTTGGAAGTTTCTGGACATGATTTTATTCTTGTTTTAGCTCGTAATTTACGTTTTTTCCGGACTATTAGGATTATTAAGTTACCTGAATTATAACTTCGAATTTATATCAATTCACCTTTCGATTTTATATAAGCATATGCTAGTACTACTAATAACATAACCTGAATATTATGTACTTTTTCCATTTTAACAGAACTCTGGGGTATATGTGGAATATTTTCTATCTCGTTGGGTGCTTCAGTAACCTCTTATATCTCTTCCTGTTAAGTAGCATGTATTGTATATAAGGTGAGCTATACTGTGCTCGATGGGTTCAAATATCTCTTCAACTCGAACTGCTTGAATGTCAAAATTCAATTTAACAATGGAAATTAACTTATAATAAGCGGACTCCATCATTTCATTACACAAATTGATGACCACCATTACTTGAGATCTGTGGTAAGTTGCAGTCTGTTTAATGGTCGTTATGAATCTCATATTCATCACTTAGCAACATGTATTACCAAGGAGTGATAATGTACATAGCCGCTTACAAAAAAATTACTTTTGTGGATTATTATCTTATCTGTTGGTAATCCACTTGAGATATTTCACAGCAGGTCCTACCAAAATTCCAGAAACAAGTTCGCTGAATTTCTGAATAAACACTTGTTGAAAAGGATTTTCCACGTTTTATGTGTATGATGCTTGCGTTTTACGAGAAAAAGTTTCTAAACTGCATTGGTATTAGTTTGTTGACGCTCATAGTCACTATGCCTTTATTAGTTCTGAGAAATTATTTTTGTGTTGAATAAAGAATGCTTTTTAACAACGACAACCAAGAGTCATCTCTTGAGAAAGTATCTAATTCGTTTTCTTTTTTGGAAAGCTTTATGCAAAAACTGCTAAAATTCCTCGAATAAAAGCAGTCTCACTCATCCGTTCGATCCTATTTAAATGTAAAGAAATGAAGTAAGTCTTTCCCTTTTTTTATCCTATCATCCCAAGCTCCCCACCCTTTAAACTTCTAATTCAATGGTGCGCCGAATACAGGTACTTATCCTTTCAAAACCCATCATCCGAACTTCTGCACCTCGACGAACCCCTCCTCTGGTTATGCTCTCTTCCGTCAGCTATCAAATACAGACACATACACATGCAAACATGCGGACATACATACACACACAGTCTGTTCGCAACATCACTGCTAATTGTTATAGGAGGCTGATTTATGGATGCTAATAAAGGTACGTAAATTTTTTTGCGTATCACTGCAAGCAGTGGTATTTATTTCCTCCATTACCTGTCCAGCTAAACTGTTTAGACATGGATTGGCGCCTGTCTTATTGTTACTCTTATTATTTGCGATAACATTTACTAATTGTTCACTAATTTCCATAAATCACACTAATACTGGTTAAACACCGTACTACTTTATATAAATATTCATAATTAAGCATTTCTTGTTCATTTACTAAATTTCATTGTGACAGTAATACATTTGTCGTCCTTCCATGTTATGTGATGCAAAATTTTTTGGAAATCAGAGCTATTATTGTTAAACCGTGAATTGAACTTTCGAAATCATAAGCGATGACCACCAAATACTTCAATTCTTTCCAAAAAAGCTATTTATAAACGCTGCTAAAAATGATTATTTTTCTGAAATCTTTAACTAGCAACAAATTTCCACCATACACAATGGAAAAAAACACCCTGAAGCATTCGCAAAATGTTTAGTTCTTAGAATCTTTGTCTATAAAGTATTTAGTAGTTTTCTTGCAGTTTGAATTGTATGTCAACCTGGAAATAAAGCTTTCATCATTATTATCTTTATCGATGCTAAATTAAACTAAATGCTCATGAAATCCGATATATTTGTTATTTTTATAGATGTCTTTTTCAAAGTGATTGTTAACAGCTATCATTAACAAAAACTATCATTTGTCTAGAACATATTTCCTTGAGCAAGTAAAAACATTGTCATTTGGAGTTTTTAATTGCATACACTTGTCCATGCTTCCATTTAGCTTGTGTTCATCTGCGTATCCATATGCTTGATTTTAGTGTTTTAAAATAATAGAATGCTGTTTCATTGTACAGAATGATGTGAAAAGAAAACTATTCGATTTGTTTCAGAAGAAGAAATCCTTATTTGCAGTGAGTCAGAAAAAAAAATTGCTACTTCCTTAATCTGTTTTACCATAATTTAATTGGAACACGGATTTCCTCGAGATTTCATATCGAAATTTTCTTTTTTTTTTTTGCTGCAATACTTCCATTCTGAAATTTTGTTGGTACTTCATCGTTCAGAATTTTCCGAGATTTTATATGGTAGCGGATAGAATAAGACATGACTTCTCCATTATTTGCTAATCAGTGACGTGTTTGTTGACCATTCCACTCGATATTTTACTGTTTCAATGTGGAGCACACGTTATTTCTAAAAGAGAATGTTCTGAAAAAATTTATAAGTAGTGAAAGTTAACTTAAAAGAAGGACAAATACATAACTCAAGCACAGGTATGAATGTTTTATGAATTTCAAAATATGCTTCAAATATTCAAAGATAGCGTTCGTATTAATTTGTCCCGTTTTTCTTTTTGTTTCCCAAGTAGTTATCGGGTTCAATCGATAAATATTTTTATTCTATCAAGAGATATTAAATTTCAAGACTCATTTTATTCCACCCTAACCTTACAATTTGTTTTTGTAAATGTTATGAAAGAGCTCCTAACAGTTTATGTAAATCAATTTGCAAATGACAAGCCACTAGCTCACTCTAATCTTTTGCATTAAACCAGCTAAAACGGTTCAAAGACATTGTATAAGTTTTTTTTTTTTTTTTTCAACAATAAATGCAAAAATAGTGTTGCTAAGATCTTTCGCTATTTATGATTCACATAAGAAGTAAGCAGAAAAGACGAAAACAGAATATTTTTTGCAAATTTATTGTCACCCGATCCGAAAATGACTCTTCTAGCAATCTCAATGATTGTTTTGGAAAAATACTGAGCAGATCCATTTAGTGTCATGTCGCTCGCTCATGTAACAAAATAAGCAGCAGCAGGACTCACTGTATTACGAAGCTTGAAATGAAGAACGAAAACTAAATACGGTAAGAAATCAAGAAGTGAGTTAGATTACATTCTGATTACCATTGAATTTTTGGCAATGTTTTTGTTATTTTCAAGAGAATCGAGCACTAGCCACAAAAAGGCACATTATTGTTGTGGTGGTTGTACGTAATGAGTGATGCCGATGCGTTATGTGAGACAAACCAAGTATTTCAATTACTTTTACTGCGTCTTGCTAAATCTTGTCAGGTAACTTACAAATAATTTATCCTCGTTTTAGACTAAAATTTAGTAATCTATAGGAAAATAAAACTTAAAATTAAAAATTTTTGATCTGAAAAAGTTATATGACGAAATGATACAGGAAAAGTGAAATCCATATAATTGCATTTTGTTTCTGGTTTACTTGAAATTCCAGTTTCAATTCTGATGACTTCCTTCATTGCACCAATAATCATTTTAACCGAAAGTTCCATGTTAAAATATCTTGAATGATAAAACTTGAATGCATGTGCTAAAGTTTTTTCGGCGAACTTTTTACTGGTTTGAAGTAATTTTTAGTTCAAATGCCGCTTTAAAAGTAAATTTTTTTGTATTCATATAGCTTTATTTTTCTTCCCATTTTTGATTTATTTCAACTTTTTTTTACCACTGCTTTTTTGAACGCTTTCGTATGTTAATACTTATAAAGCTCGAAAAATTCATTTTTACATTTTTGAGAGCAATTATAGATCACTTGATTCCAACTTGATATGGACTAATTCTTGTTGTGACAGTATTAGATCGCGTGCCATTAGAAAATCAAAATTGTTCCAGATTAAAGTTGCTTCATCTATACTTCCATGTTTTCTAATTTTCAAATTACCATTGTAGAATGGAAAAAAATTTGGATTATTAGAGTCTTCGAAGTCCAGAAAACCTTTGAAACTTATGTAATGGTCACTGACTAATATTGTATAGAAAATTTAAGAAACAGCATATATACAACTTGCCAATGGCCCTCTTTCACCATGATAAAATTGACCATGCGAATAGACAATCGAAACATTTCACTCATTAGTTACAGTGTGTTGCTGTTATTTTAATAATTTTAAGAT